GCAATGTCGTAGTTGCTTTGTTTTGGTGGACCAGCTTCTTTCCAGGGCATCCTTACTTGGACTCGTCCATTGATTAGCGTTGTTGATTTTGAGAGAGACTTGATAAACTTGTTCTCTCGAAGAGCTTCGTCACTACATGTGCAGAGCGCTGTTGGTTTAACTCCAAGCTGGTCTTGTCGAATTAGTGATTTGATGTCTTCTGCGACGCTTATTGTCCCCACGTCCACAGATTGGACGATTTCAGCTGTCCACATTGATTTGAACTGTCCAAGGACATACCAGCCAAAACAGTTCCTTTTGCCGATGGGTGCACCGGTTGTTCCGGTCAGAGTGTGTACATCGATGAATGCATCAGCAAAGTCCGTTCCTATAAGAAGGTCTACTGTTCCACCTGCGAGGTATATTTCATCAGATATTGGTTTGAGGTGTTTGTAACTTTCCACGAGTTTCTTTGATACTGTTTTTGCACTGCTGCACGGCTTTTGAACGATAAACGCTGATAGTGTCTTCTTAATACTCTCTTCGTTTACTGGCATTATTGTAATGTCTAAGAGTTCGGAATCTTCTGATGTCGTGCTACCTCCAGCTAGGTTCATTCTTAAGCGGGTTTTGGGTCCACTCAGGTTAAGGCGTTTTGCTGCATTCTTCGACAGAAGACTAGTGTTTGATCCACTGTCAAGCATAGCAAGCAGTTCTACAGGTGTTCCTTTGTYRTCAARAGMTTTTACTCTCTGTATTGGRCAAAGYCCAGTGACTGTAGAGTTTATGTCCTTTTGTTTTTGTTGGTCRCTRATCTGTGCATTATTKTTGCYGGTAGCAGGTGWCTTGGTAGGTGTCTCTTTTCTCTCGCTGTGAAGAAGACGATGATGATYTTTTTCACATTTGTCGCATGATGTGCCGTCGGTTTTATGACAATCGCTGGTGTGGTGTTCTTTTAGGCATTTTCGACAGCGGTTGTTCTGTTTGATAAYCTCCCACCTTTGGCTTACTGATAAGTCTTTGAAGATGGTACAGGCAGTTAAAAGGTGTTTTGTAGGGCAGCCAAGAATACACACTTCATCCATTTCAGGGGCGTCAACAGCATGGTTTTCTGATCGTCGCTGGAACATCGTTCGTTTCTGTTTGTCTGCCTTGTCGTCGCTGTCTTCGTCGCGTCTCCCTCTTGAGCGGAGGTTTGCTTCTTGATGAAGCCATTCGAGCAGAGTCAAAACAGTTTCTGGTTTTTTCAGTCTTTGCATCTCGCGACCGTACTCTACGTTATCCCTCGGGTCCAGTTTTGACAGAAGCTGGGACATGAAGAATGGAGATTCTGTTGATTTAGTGACCGAGCAGTCATTGTCCTCCATGTCACTAACATATCTGCGTACATTGGTGCTGAAACTCATTAGAGATTTGGAGTCTCTCTTGATTGGTTTTAGATCGTTTATTTCTGTCAAGAGAGTGTCCATAAGTKTTCTTTTATCTCCGAATTCGATGTCCAGGATTTTCCAGGCTTGATCGATGTTCTTGCATGTTTTTACCTGTTCCGAACACCACCCTTTTGGCATAGCCTTTCGTAAGCGTTGTACTTGTTCGTCATCATCTTGTTTGTATTTCTTCATCCAGTGGTTGAATTCCTTTTTAAAAGTAGCGTATGTTCTACGCGTTCCATCCCAAGAAGGGACAGACAGTCGTTCTAGCCCACTAGGACTGGATTTCACTTCAAGGGATTTTGCCATATTTTGAAAAGCAGCGGTCATGGCCTCAAGAAATTCAAAAGTTGTCAAATTGCTTTGTGCTTTCCACTTGTTTTGGCGTACTCCATTCTTTTTCGTAAATCGCGAACTTCTCTACTAAATTCAGATAGTCAACCTTTATTCCTTCACCGAACTTCCGGTTAGCTATCGAAACTTCGTCGTCTGTAGACACAGCTTCATCTATAAACTTATCTGCAATACTTTCAAGTTGTTTCTTTACTTTTCTGTATTTGCTTTCAACTTGATCAAATATGTGTTTAAGTCTATCAAAGTGAGGTTTTGTTGTATGAATTGTTTCGAATTCTTCAATTAACTCGTACAGATTGAGAGCCGCATTTTGAACTCGTGCAATTAATTTTCCTGATTCTAATTTCGGCGGCATTTTGTCGCGAAAATATCTTGCTTTAGATTTTTCAAGTATCAGAGCCTCGTTTCCATGCACTCCACGTGTGGCGTTGGTTTTCTAATCGTGCTTCTCAAATTACAAGTACGTGATGGCTTGCACATCAAGATTATAAAGCAACACTATTGCTCATGAAGTCAATATTCTACATTATATAGGAATAGATCGTTCATACCTCTAAAGAGTTCAGTTACTGTAATTACTGCGCATGTCCTAGTTATTACACAGGTAATCCAATCATATAACAGTTTTAGCATCTCGTAGACGCTGAACTTGAAAATTTCCATCAACTTTACATTCATTTTTTCGGTGTCAAAAAGTCACAAAAAATGAGCAACCAATGAAAAGTGAGAGAAATCTTAGCCAATCAAAATCCATATTTGACCGGCCGATTTCAGGGCAATGCCAGGTCTATCTCTGGGTGCAGAGTAGCCCTGGGAACGAGGTTGCAGGAGCCATGTATTGTATTCTATTTCACTCACGCATGCGCAGACAAATGTCCCTGGTGTTGGGTCGCCTATTGGTYGCCCATGGTCACCACCCTCCACCACCCAGTCTATATTACCGCAGAGGCGCAGGCCTCCCAACTATGACTTTATCGAAAGAAGTGAACTATCATGCATGCTTTTACACTGGTACTGTTATCCAATTCTACCAAATGCAGGATSAGTAAATAATAGTAATATCTCACTAATAGACAGCAATGGTAATGCTAATTTTCATTTCAATATCACTACTCTGATTTTTCTCTCAAATTAAAATTTGACTGCCTTTAACCTCTCACACACTCATTCAGATMTCGTTATCCATTATTCTAACTGTAAAACATATTTGCTTGARTATATCATTGCTACAAAACAATAACTTCGGTATTTGTTTGTAGCTTAAAAATAAAACGAGAAGTTCGGAATTGAGTTCTCTTTGATAGTTTTAATAAGAAATGTCTCCTTWTTAACATGAAGTGAACTTCATAAAGGCAAAGAGTCTCCACTATAGGAATGATGACAAGTGAATACATTTGAGATTGTTTCGCTGTTTAATAAGTTATATAATATTAATGGTAGTTCATTTCTTCTTCTGAAACAAAAGAAAAAAGATTAGGATTAGAATCGAGGACTGACATTTATACAATTTGATCATTTGAAAGCATCTTCAAAACATTGAGTCCAAAGCTTTTATAGTGATATTAACTGCACACAAAATTATTTCGTAATGGATTATATCCATATTGAGCCTACCTTTGTATAAATATCTATAAATATCTTGGTGGCCTATAGTCTTGAAAAACCAAAATTCATTTTCAACATGACATAAATGACTATTATCTGTCCTGATAAGAGGATGATTTGTTGTTTTTGCTCTTCAACAAAGTTGAATTGTTCTTATTTGAATAGACAAATGTTTTGACTGTATAGCTGCTTTAAGTCACTTCCTCAAGGATATAAATTATCAAGAAGAAAGAATAATAAATGCAAACATAATRTCAGCTTCTACACTCACCATTTTCATCTTTTTTGCATTTTTGTATAAAACTGAAAGAATACATTGATGCAAATTAGTGCAATTGTGCATAATAATAATTCATGACTCCATCTAGGCCAAAGTAATGCAGTTTCAATTATAAATCTATGGATCTCCATTTTGTTGTGTCTTGGTTGAGCAACGGAATTAATCGCGGCATTAGGATTTCTAGATATTAACATCAAAGCTAAGAGGCTTTTGTGTCCTACAATGTCATCTAATCGGCACCTATGAATGAAAGTACGCACTGCAAACGCGAAATAGAACACAAATGAATTCAATTCCAATCTCTCATTGCAACAATCAATGAATAGAAAAATCAATGTACTTACAACTGGAACGGTTCATCACGCCATTTAATAAGATTAAATCTAAAAAAAATATCTTTTTTAGAAGATATACTTAACGATTGTTTAGAAGATATATTTAACTATTTTTTAGAAACATTATAAATAAACGAAATGTCATTCAACTATGAATTTAACTATTAAGGAATTGCACAGCTGGAAGACACTATCAAAAGTACAACAACTGAGTGAAAAAAACATAGTTTTCATTTGAAACTTACATTATAATTTGAACAATTGGCCAATATATAGAAGACTGCAATATAATAGAACAAAAATGTCAGTCAGTGAAAACCATATCATCATTGCTGATAAAATATTCAAATAACAATTCAGAAAGGCTTTAAAGCCAACAACACTTAATGTCACACAACCATTTCGTTTTAGAATACATAATGAAAAAGTAATAAATATTAACATGCTCTARTTACCTTTTCAAGAAATTAGAGAGACAAACTGTGCCCTGATCAGGTAATTCTCGAACATTTCCACCTTTCTAAAGTAATCAAAGAAATTAGAACGATTTCACAATGGAATACAATACATTTTATAAATGTATTCATACATTACATCAACTGTGTGCTRCGAAGGTCTGTTCGCGCTTTAACAATCATTCTGATAATAATTAAAATTCAAAAAAGATAAAGAGTCTAACACATTGTCTTTTGAGATACCTGTGGCTTAGATGACAATTAATTTACATGTTAGATACTTCCAAAACTCATTTGCATGTTAAAAAACGCTTATGTGAAATTGTTCTATTAAGACATATCAGTAGCAATATTCTTCAACAACAGTTTAGTGTGGTTACTATACATGATGTGACAGGTAACCAGTATATATCATTATGATAAAAGCCACCAACACTATCAGGAGATCTTTGCCCACAATGTTGAGTGGACCAAAAGGATCTTAACCATAGTGGTCACCATCTAATGAACATACATGCAATTTTCAAAATATTATATCACATTTTAGTAAAAGTAAGGTGATTACTGAAGTTCAAAATGAAAATATTAAATTCTGCGAAGCAATAAGGAATCAAAATATATCATAACACCGGAACGAGGCTATAACAGTCTTCGCTGAAAAATTCATACGTTTCTGTGTATTTTCTTATGTGGGCTTCCTATGGAAGACCACGTCTAAAAATGCAACTGGACTTTTTTTTGGTGGTGAATATTACACTTCAAATTGGTAGCGCCTGCGTTACAGATGGACTGCAGTCTCAGAATGAAAACGAAATGGCTTACAGACGGCGGCAAAAAGTTGTCTCGTTTCGTTGTTTCGTCACAACCAAGTGTTCGATGTCAAACACAAAATCTTMAAAAATAAGAAATCACATGAATATTGAAGGTTCATACTTTGACAGAAAAAAGCATTCGATGGAATAAAGCATATCAAACCTCATGTGAAAAATATTGATGCCATTTTCTAAACTGACGATGTGTTTGCAGTTCGGAAAACTGCACGTGTGAGCTTTACTGAATGCTGGATACAAAATAGATATTGTCTTTTTGAAGCATTTTAATTCTCTATTATTTGTTTTGATGATTGTTTACCTTGAAAAACTTACACAAATTCAAAAATATGAACTGTCATTAGGAGGTAGACCTGTATGATGGCACAGAACACCAGATGTAAAATTATGAATTACAACTTAATGAAAAACACCAAATAAAAAGAACAGAAACACAAGATCTTACATAATTCAAATGATCAAAATATTATTTATTAGTTATATTATTAGTTATATTATTAGTTATACTTCAAATACTGTACCATTTCTATTTTTTATGTGACCTATATGACCTACAAGATTTTTTTGCATATTTTGAATAATATAGACCCTCTTACTGCTTAAAGTCGATCTAGTTATTTTGGAAAACTGAGAAAGACATGGTATCTAAAGAATTCAGTAAGTGTTCAGTTCGGGACTACATTATGATAATAATGAAACCCTTAAGTCTTTTATTTTTTTATTTTGAGAGGGTAGCACGTAATAGTCTCTANATTGTAAAAGAGTTAGCAAATTCTTTCCAAAATAAAGAGTAAACTCCTACACCAACACCATCCTCAATCCGACCTTTTTCATCAACTAACTGAAAAGTGAGATCAGATTTCAAGACATCCTCTTTTTTGAAATGTTGTATCATGTCAATGCATATGGTACTTCTGCGCACCCACATCAATCTAGGAGTTTGTATTGTTAGAGGAGAAGGACTGGCCACACTAATAGAATTGGTGGATGAGAGATTGGTCATCACACTACTACTTGAATTGGTGGATGAAGGTGGGAGTGTCGGCATCACACTACTACTGGAATTGGTGGATGAAGGTAGGAGTGTTGGCATCACACTACTACTTGAATAATTGGTGGATAAAGGTGAGTGTTTTCACTCCCTCGTGGTGGGGCGTTACTATGATTCAAGCCACACGAGTCCACTTCTCTATTGACTTTATTTCTTGAACTATTAATTTGGATAGTCAACTGTAGAATTTACAAGGTGAATGCTTAATATTGTATAAAGCTTGATTACATAAGGTAATTTAAGTACTAAAATACTTACAAATTCGTTTAGGTTGTCTAGAGAAGTGTTTTTTGTTGCTGTTTTTTGTAGAAGTAATTATGGAGTCCTCGTTATTCCACGTGCGACCAGAACTGAAATCTGATCACTTTTTAATGTCAGTTAAATCCACATGCGTGGTTACAATCAAGTTAATGTTCAACTAATCGGCTGATAGGCTTGTGGGAGCAAAACACTCCCCTCCAGTACCGAAATTGTTACAATTGAGTAACGTTCATTAAGTAACATAAACGAATATAATATAATGTCAAAAACAGTGTTCTTTAAGCGCTGCTGTGCAGCTCCTGGTTTGTTGCAATTAAACAGAGCTTGTGGATGGGCCTGTCGTACTGACCAGACTGCGTCTTGATTTTGACCTTTCTCACAAGGCCATCTACACCCGGGTTTGTAGCAACTACCACTGCCATCTTCCACTGTGTCCTTCGGTGCTTCTTGTCAATCTCCAATACCAGATCGCCAGTTTGGAGAATCTCTCTTGTGCGGTACCATTTGTTCCTTGGTAATAATGTTGGTGCAAAATATTTCATCCAAGAGGTCCAGAATTCCGCGATACGCTGTTGGGTACTTCTTGTGAGGTCCCTTGGATTCACTCTGTCTTCTGGCGA